TTCAGTTAAGCAACAAAAAAGGACTTTAATGTGGTATATTTCTTATTTTCATTGTAATATCAGGAAACTGACCCTCTTAAGTTTAAATACTCTGTGTGTATTTATAGTAAACACTATTTGCATATTGCTATAAGGTGTTAGGAGTTTATGCAATGGTCCTGTTAGCAGTATTCTCAGTTTATATTGATTTTCTGGGTGTACTTTAAGTTGCATAGTCTTGATTTTTCAATACATACTGTATTATGAGAAAAGAAAGACCTGATGTAGATGTAGGTCTCATCTACATCAGTATGAATACTTGGCCAATAGGCTACACTCATAACAGGCAGGGCTCCAACGATTCGTTGACATAATCAATGATGTTGACTATAAAAATTCATTGATGTTAAATTTTATTGTTGATGCGTCATATTTTAAAACCACCTAAATGTGTTTTTGTAACTGTAATACATTACAGGAAGCTACGGGGCAGTATCACCTCTCGTCTGCCAACACTGTACTCAATACTAATGAAGAAGAACGTAGCACGACCAGGAGGACAGAAGAAATTGGAAAAAGACATTTAAAAAAAAAAAATGTTAAAGTGTTTCATAGAAAACAAAGTTAAATGCAGACTGTACAAAGTGGAGCTTTCCTTCCACGACGGCACTACTACAGTGCACTGCAGCACCTGTGACATCTACTCTGAATAGATCAGTTTTAGAGAGTGCGTTGCATTGATACCTTGTTTATGTTAATGTCTGTGCAGTAATGGTTTTCTTAATGTTTCTACAGTAAGTTGTATGTTAATATTTGAGATGAGATGAGATGAGATAGCCTTTATTTGTCAGTTGCAGGTCTTTTGCCCACAACAGTAATGTTTATGTTAATGTTTGTACAGTAATGTTTATCTTAGCTTACCTGTTGGAAACATCTAATAGATGATGCTTGCTGAGCAAACACAATTTCAGTTTTGTTAGCTAATGAGAGAAACGTGATAGTAAACCATTAAACAGGAGTAGCCACACTACCAGTCAACAGTTTGGACACACCTTACTTAGTGTTTTTTC